CGCGGTTAACGTTAGACTAAACTCTAGTGGTAATCATACTAGGTTTTGTCCAAGGGAAATTGTTTTAACAGTAACGAAGTGTTGTCCGAGTACCGAGTCATCACATTATCAGGTGAGTGCATAGTTAGTTTTATCTTACACACACACACACACACACACACACATATATATATATATATATATATATATATATATATATATATATATATATATATATGAAGTATTTTAATATAAATTACGTGTTATATGTATATATTGTCTGAATACTTCATGTCTATGCTGGTGAAAGATTTTTATACATGTTTTAAATGATTTAAATTGTATACGTATTTATATATAGAATATGTTGGGTATGACATGGGTAGATGAATGATGAGAGATAAAAGATGATGTGAGTAAACATTGGCAGCTATAGACTTAATGCCTAATAAACATTAGTAGCTATGGACTTAGTACCTGATAGGAATTGGTAGCTATGGACTTAATACGTATTAGATAAACACTGGTAGCTATGGATTTAGTACCCGATGAATAAACTATAGCAACTATGGAATTAGTGCTTTACGAACGAGTATTGGCAGCTATGGATTTAGTGCCAGTCCTATAACCCTGGAATCAAGGGACTTCGGAATAAACGAATACATGACTCTTAGGATAGATTCGTAAGAGTAAAGAAGATAATGGGGATGGGTAATTGGGTTGATTGTTTGATTATTTAAACATAATAATTATATTATTGTGGGTTGAAAACCCTATGTACTCATCAGGTTTCCCAACCTAACCCACTCAGTTTATTTATATCACAGGTGTTGATATGAAGTCACATTACACTGAGAGATTAAAGAGATGTAGATCACTAGTGTAAATAAACGTAAGTTTCATTTATGCTTATGTTTCTGTATTGACAATGACATCTCAATGTTTTAAAATGAATAAAAATATTTTTCTTCGGAAATGCTTTGATAACGTATTTATCATGTTTTGTTGGGAACAAATTCCACAACATTTTTATTAAAAGAGATGCTCTGATTTTTTTATAAAGCATAAATAATAATCGGTCTTTTCTGACCGTGAAAATGGGGATGTCACACTTATGGTTTGGGATAATTTGAGCACTTGGTCCCAACTTTTTTTTAACTCGGACTGTCCTTAAATGTAACTTTGTTCCGTGTTTGTTCCCTACCCGATCTAAAAAGACTATTTTACCCTTGGTGTTTTTTTTTATCTTTTAATCATTTCCATTTTATGTTCTTAACTTTTAATAATAGAAAAAATAGTAATAATGTATATGTGGCCACCTCCCCACCAAACCCCCTTATCCTCAACCTCTTCTTCCAGTACTTAACTTTGAGTGAAGAGTCACCCGGTTCGTCTTCTCCGGCAAGACCGTCGACAAACCACCACACCTTTCATATGAAGCAAATCAAAACTAAATCATAGGAAAATCGTATTAGAAACCATATGCGAAGCAAATCACTACCGTATCTGAAATAAATTTGAAGGAAATCAAACCGAAAAATGGTAAAAGAAAATTGGAACAAGATAAAATTAAAAAATTAAACCACGACCACCTCCTTTTCATCTTCCCCGACAAGATCGCCTCTATGTTGCCACAAAACATAAATCTATTCACAAAATTCTAGATGCAATCTATTCACAAAACAAAAACATATGTAATTGATGAACAAAGATACAAATCCATTTACAGAGTATCAAATTTTAATGAGTAGTTTTTCCAAGGTTCTAAAAAGCTCCGCCATGGCGCGCAACGACTCCAAGGCTTGCACCTGCCGCCAAGCTTTGCCAAAATGTCGCCTTAAGTCATATATGTGTATAAAAATAATAATAGTTGAAAATACATATAAAAATATTAATTATATAGAAAATGTCCGCCTTAAGTCACGCCTTACAAACGTCATGACTCGTCAAGGCTCGGAAAAGCTTGAGGCTTGACATTGCCGCCAAGTCACACCTTACGTTATTTAGAACCTTGAGTTTTTCAATATACAAAAACGCATATCAACGTTAAGCTTTTATTCATAAATTTCAACAAGATCCCTTTTTAAAAGACCGTAGCAATGGCATCAAATTTCAATCAGAAAGTTAAACAAGAAAGCATTTTTAAAGTAATCCCTAATTCTTCTTCAATCATCATCAGGAACTCCTTTAATATGGATAGCAAAGACCTGATTGTGTATCATACGGTTATACGGTTAGAGCATCTCCAACCCACTCTCATTCTCCATTTTTCCCCCCATTTCTTCCCCCATTCCTCTCCAACCCTCCCCAATTTATTCCCTCATTTTGGGGGAAATGAATAGTATAACACCATATTTTGTGTTATACTATTCATTTCCCCCAAAATGGGGATGAACTTTGAGTCGTCGATTTTAGTTCCTCGTTTTATATATTTATACATTTATGGTTTTTTATCTACTAATTTTTATTTAAATGTAATATTTAATACTTACAATATTGTGTTATATATTAAATTATATTAATTAATTATAAATATAAAGTGTATTTTTTGTTTATCAAATTTATATTAAAATTTAAATACATATTGAAATTTTAAAACACAATAACGTATTTTATAAAAGCTTATAATTACTTATTATAAATATAATCTTATTTATTTAATATTATTGTAATGAAAAAATATAGATTATATATTTGTTAAAATCAAGTTAATAGAAGAGGTGTGTTTGACAAATTATATAAGTTATAAAAATAGAATATATTTTTTGGGGGTGAAAATGGAGTAGGGTTGGAGATGAAACACTTTTTACCCCATTTTTTACTCCATTTTTGGGGTGAAAAATGAGAGTGGGTTGGAGATGGTCTTAGGATTCTCCTTTACGCTCCTCGTGTTTTCTTTGACCTACTCTCGATCTCTTAGTCCGTGCTCAAACTTGTCGATTTCTTCAACGATGAGATGAACGATGCCATAAGGGGTGTTTGTGACTTTGTTTTGGAGAAAGGTTGGTGTGAAGAAGGCAAAATCAAGTTTAGAATCGTCTTCGATGGTGGACGTTAGCTCAGCGTTGCTCGGAGAACATAGAGTGACCTGAGAAGAGAGACACACTTAAGAGATGATAACGGGGTGAGAGGAAAGAAACGGGGATCTGGTAGGATAAAGTGGTGTAGATTGAGGTAGAAAGAGATGATGGGGTGGAGGCTGGATCTAGGGTAAGGAAGAGAACCAGGGCTCCACGATATATATATATATATATATATATATATATATATATATATATATATATATATATATATATATATATATATATATATATATATATATATATATATAGAGAGAGAGAGAGAGAGAAAGAGAAAGAGAGAGATAGAGAGAGAGAGAGAGAGAGATTTAAGCAAATCAAAATTGTTAATTCATTCGTAACTCATCTGAAAAACAATTGATTATTTCTAATAAAATATTTGTTGAGAACCAAATATTTCTAATGACATATTTTTTGAGAAGCCAAATAAATTACAATTTGTGTTGGCTCAAAGATTAATATGTCACATCATTTATTATATGTATCGAACTCGAGACTTACACAAGGTTTCTTTCCTTCATTTTAAAATGCATGTTTACATGAAATACAACGAACACTAATAATACAATAAAGAGAGTCACTAACTTAATGGCTAACACGTCCCGCCCTCAAGGAGAAGTCATAGTTTCAACTCTTGCTTCTGTTTTTTCTTTCTTTATTTGAAGTTATTACGTTTTAAAATACCTATTGGTGACTCGCCAATGGGTAAAATGGAATTTTTTGTAAAAAATATTGGCAAAAGAGGAAAAATTATGTTGGGGCTAAATGCAAACTTATACGTAATTGTTGGGACTAAATGCAAACTAGGAAAAATGAGAAATCGACACATCATCGTGACCTGTTGGTGACCAGTCAAGGGCCTGAAAATGAAATGTTTTCTAAGATATAATGGCAAATTAGGAACAAAAAAAATGAAATTAAGGCTAAACCACAACAAAATTGTATATATAACGGTTTTTATGGCATAAACCCTTTTTTCTATTCAAAATGTTTTTTTTTTTCATTTTTTATCTAAAACTTGGTGTTTATAAAAAATAAAAATGATTTTAAAAAAAACAACACAATATATGGTCCAATTTTTTTTTAATTTACTTAAAAGAAGAACTTAAACCCATGTAACATCCACTTTCAGAATTTTTTTATTTCAGATTGTGGACCGTAATTCGATCATGTTAAGGCCTTGGGCTTTAAGGAAATAGAGTCTAGACCCTACAAGATGTTGATAATGTTGGTTAAGTGATCTAATCCCTTGATTTGTGTTTTGGAACTAAAGGTAAAATGGGAAAAGTGATGCTTCAGACTTCTTGTATTAATTAATGATTTTAGTTCAGTATTTTTTAAGTCAAAAGTAATTAAATATGGTTATGGGCTTGTCAATACCTTTTCGTTCATATAAGGATCGTTGAAAACGGAATTGAAACGTTAAAGTTATGACCGTTTGAAGTTGAAGTGAAATCGGATGAAAACTTGTTGTCACGAGGTGACAGGAATGTTGTCATGATGTGAGAGTCGTCACGAGCTGACAAGCAGGCTGTCACAAGGTGAAAACTATACAGCCCAAGCACACAAATTTTTAGGGTTTTCAAGATATTTAAAGGTAAGGATTCATGTTTTATAATAGTTTATTAGTCTCTATCATATCTAGAACCCTTTGGGGGAAACCCTAGCCTGCATCTTTAAGATTTTACCTCCTCCCCTCTCCTCTTTCCTTTTTTGGATGTTTTTTGAGGAGAGAGAGAGAGAGAGAGAGAGAGAGAGAGAGAACGTTTTCTTTGTTAAAGGTTTTTTAAATTTTTAAAAAAATAAGAAATGGTAAAATAGTCTTTTCTAGGTTGTGCAGGAACCAAACACACAACAAAATTACATCTTAGGGACCATCCGAGTTTAAAAAAAAAAAAAAAAAGTAGAGACTAACCACGCAGATTAACCCAAACCACAAGGACCATTTGCATAATTTGTTCAAGAAATTACATAAACTAAGGAAGCAAGGTCTTTTACAACGTATAATTTTCAAAAAGTCGTATAGAAAAAGTGTTACATTATATTATCCTTTCAACAAACAACAAGATACCCTTATGTGTCATCTCACATCTTTGACCTCACATTGTTTTTTCCAGAATGTGTCACCATTTTCTCCCGAAATCCTTTTTGGGACTCAAAGAGATGCTCATGAACTTCATCAAAATAAGGTGCAGTTGCACTTCTTATGTCTTCTATCCACTTTTTCACTTTCTTGTAAGGGCTTAATATCCTATGGCAATCCTTCTCACTCAAAAGCTAAACACACATATAAAAAAAAAAAAAGTTATAATTAACCCAACATAAGTGAAGCTTTTGTAACATTAATTTATATGATTACCTGAAGTTGCATGACTTCACATGCTAAACTGAGATCCGCAATTGATGGTTGAGAGCTTCCACCCAAAAAGCTTCCATCTTTTAACCAAACATTTTCTATTTTAGACAAAGATCTCAACAGAATCTCCTCAGCTTGAGTGATTATCTGAGGGTGTGAACGCATGCCATGTAGTGGTGTCAAGATACTGTAGAATACAAGTCCACCTGAAAGTAGAAGAAAGTATATAAGAAAAAGAAACATTGCCGATTTCCAATATCTAAAATATAATTTTAAAAACAGCTACTAATTAAATTAATTAGTTATCACCTGCACCATGTCGAAGATATGAATGATGCCAATCTAAAATGGAGTGGACCTTAGCTCTTTCGGCTGGATCAACAGGATACCTATGCATGTAACGAACTAATAAATTCATGCAATTAAAATTAAAATAAACAAACGACTCACCAGTGACTAGCTACTCCTGGAAACGCACAAGCTAAGTAGATAAGAATCGCATGACTACAAATCACAGCATAAAACAAACGAATCGATGAGCAGATACTGAGGAATTGAATATCACGTAAAAGATGCAAAAAGAACCTTTCAAACAGCTTCAATTTTCCATCAACTATTGCAGGAATTTGGCGCATGGGATTTATTGCTGCATACAACAAGACAGGATTTTTAGGTTCCGAAATCACGTATCTTAATGAATAATGAATCTCCTTTATATTCATCAAACAAACCCTTGATATTCAGGGGAGAATTGGTGGCCTTTCAAGACAGTTACCATAATTTCCTCAAAATCTATCCCGTTTTTTCTTCAAATAACATCCAAAAAGGGCATAAGATATAGAGGGAATTTAATTGGATAAAGAATCAATTTAACGATAAACAAGTAAAAAATTAAAAGAAATTAGTCAAATTACTGAAACTAATGAAGCAAGAGGCAGATAGAACATAGTATTTACAAAGATTCATCGTCAAAACCTAATTCAATTTGCAAAAATTGATACAAATGGGTTTTTTTTTCTAGTTGAAATGACAGTCAAACTAAAGAAAGAAACTAGAGTGGATATGCTTCCTATTTCCTCAAAGTCGATCCCAATTTTCCTTCAAATAACATCCAAAAAAACAAAGCTCGAGAAAGACAATTTTTGACAAGCATCAGATAGTATATCAGTTGCGCAGTGATAAAGAAAACGTAACTGGAACTAACGAAAGAAACCATTAAGAACAGAAAAAAGACAACACCCAATATAAACGAGCAGATAATTAATAGCTTCAATAGGTGTATTCGAGTACTCGATCGATGACGATGAAAGAAAATGCCGTTGAAAATACAAGGTAAATGAAGAATATAATTTACTTGCAGAAGATGAGAACAGAACGAGAGGGTGCGGAGAGTCGATCAGCACATACTTTCAGCACCATGTTTTCTCTGTATCGAGAAATTGTGTCGCTAATTTACTTTCCAGATCAAGCTTTGATTTGGTGGGATCTAGAAAATAAGTTAAAGACTGTTTTTTCTAGTGTCTACACAAAAAGTCATTATATATACACTTTGTACGATTTTGTTTTATTTTATTTTTCCCATTTGTCTTAATATTTTAGAAAACCATTTATTTTCATGCACTTAGCCCCAACATTTATGTATTGTTTTGTATTTGGATCCATTATTTTTTTGTTTCCTATTTGTTATTATTTTTTAGAAAAAAAATTCATTTTAACTATTGTCGAATAATGAATAGATATTTTAAAACATAATATCTTAAAATGAAAAAATGAAATAACGAAGACAGAAATCGAAACTGCAACTTCTCCTTTAGTGGCGGGATGTGTTAGCTAGTAAGTCAATGATTCTTTTTTTTTTTTGTATTATCAACTAGGTGTAAGATTCGTATATTACACGGGTTTGTTAAAAAAAATTAATAAATTTTTTTGAATACCAACCAATTATTAAAGTAATACAATACTTATAAGTAACGACTTTATTGTGTAAGTATATATAATTGAACCCAGATTACAAAAATGTAATTGAACGTAAATTATACACACACACACACAAAAAAAAAAAAAAACATCAATGAAATATTCTAAATAATTGTTAGAAATTATAGATTTCCAAATACTTCTTTGAATACGACATTAGATGTCATATTGAGAATGTTACTTTCATTGTCTAAACTTAATATTTTCAATCCGTCTCTGCTTTTAACTCTAGACAATGTAACATACAATTGTCCATGAGTAAACACTAGTTGTCTAAAAAACAAACCAACCTTTGATAGCGACTGTCTTTGACTTTTGTTTATTGTCAACGCAAAGCATGCATCAAGTGGAAATTGTCTTCTCTGAAAGGTGAAAGGAATCCTTTTATCCGAAAGGATCAGTGACATTCTTGGAATAAACGTACGTTTTCCTATATTACTTCCAGAAATTATCTCTGCTTCTATAACATGCTTACCTAATGCTATAACTCGCAGCCTTGTTCCATTATGCAAACCGTATTTCTAGTCAATATTCCTCAATAACATAACCGGAATACCGATTTTTAATACCAATTTATGAATTGGAAGACCAGAAGGTCTAAGGCCATTTAGAACATCAGGAGAGTATACAGATTCGTCAAAGTCATCGTGTACAAAATCCGATTGACAAAGACAGTCTGAACTTAAATATTCTTTTTCATCTTCAGGAAATAATGATAACAAATGATTGTTTATTTCTTGAACAACCTCATTTTTCGGTGCAATGATTGCTCTTTCTTGAAAAAAAAAACATCGGATTATTGGCATTTTCAACAATAGAAGGATAGACAAATGTAATTAACGAACCAATAGGATCCGATGAATCTGTAATGAGAATATCATCTGGTATATCAATAATTGTCTCGCTATCGTTTAAACCACTAACCTTTCTGTAACACCCAGAATCCAGAAGACCCGTAAAGGAAAGAGAACCCAAAGTCAAAGGGGTCAAATCGTCGAGTCTAAGGAGGAACTTGACGAGTCAGAGCGGGTTCCGTGCCGCGGATTAAGTGACCAATTCGGCGATTCGGCAATGGACTCGGCGAGTCTGGTCTGGGTTTGGAAATCCTAATTCCAGGACTTGGTGCCCTATTTAAGCATCCTATTCTCCTCCCTAGGGTTTCATTCGTGGCCTCTCTAGTCCAAAACTCGAAACCCTAGCCACCCAACTCCATTATTGAGCTAGTTCTTGCCATGAGAGTGAATTGAAGCTTGGAGAAGGAAGAAGGACCTTGGTAGTGCAAGAAGACGCTATAGATCCAGAGTTGGGGTAGCATTGCAGATCATTTGGAGGTATAAAGCTTAAACCTTGGCGCACTATATGCTATTATGTACGAAAGACCAGGAGGTGGCTCCTGGCGCACTGTATGCTATCATGTACGAAAGACCAAGAGGTGGCTCCTGGCGCACTGTATGTTATTATGTATGAAAGACCGGGTGGTGGCTCCTAGTACACTATATGCTGAGTTGCCTAGTAGAGTAGCATGTATAGTTGTCTTGGTGATTCTTGCATGGAAGACCAGGGGGTGGCCCTTGGCACTTGTCTGTAAGACTGAGGGAGTAGCCCCAGGCTTGACCAGGAAGACCATGTGCAGCCTGTGGCATAACCACAAGACTATGTTTGGCACATAGCACCTTAGCAAGACTATGTTTGGCACATAGCACCTTACTTGATTATGGATATGTTGGTTATGTATGGCTCTTGGTTATGTATGGCATGTATGGACTAGTTGGTATGTATGGTATGTGGTATCTGGGGAACTCACTAAGCTTCATGCTTACGGTTTTCAATTTTGGTTTTAGGTACCTTGTTTTCAAGGAAAGGATTCGGCTCGATCGCAGCGCATCACACTATGTTTTCCGCATATGAGATCTCTGGAATTACACTATGATATGGTTTTGTGATAATATGTTTTGATTATTGACACTTTGGTTTGACATGAGATATTAATATGAATGTTTTTATACTGTTGATTTTATATAATAACTCAATTAAAATGAAATTTTTGGTCTTAAATTTTGGGATGTTACACTTTCCTACACCTATATTCAAAATCTAATTTGCAAATGTGGTTGTTTCTTCAATATTAGATGTTTGAAGACTTAACCTCAAGTTTTGTTTTGTTAATCTTAAGACCTTGCAATTTGACCAAATATAAGAGGAACTTATTGAAGCATTGACGATGTCTTGTCTACTTCCATTAGGAACAACAGGTAGAATTTGTCTGAAATCGCCTCAAAAAACAATTGCTTTTCCTCCAAATGTCAATTTTGAGTTGCTACGAAGATGACAACCCAATATATCCTTCAAAGATCTATCCAAAGCTTCAAAGGCATGCCTGTGAATCATGGGTGCCTCATCCCATATAATCAATGATGTTTTTTAACAATTCTGCAACATCACTTTCCAGTGTTATAGAACAAAACGAATCATCGGTAAGATTTAAAAGGATTATAAATCGAGAGTGTGATGTCCTACCTCCTATCAATAATAAGGAAGCAATACCACTTGAAGTCAGGAATAGATATTTTAGAACATAATATCTTAAAATGAAAAAAGGAAATAACGAAGACAAAAGTCGAAACTGCGACTTCTCCTTTAGTGGCGGGATGTGTTAGGTAGTAAGTCAATGATTCTCTTTTTTGTATTATCAATGTTTATTGTATTTAATGTATACATGTATTTTAAAGGAAGGAAAAAGACCTAATGTTAGTGTAGAGTATGTGATCTAATAAACAATATAACATGCTAATCTTTGAATCAATCAAATTTGTTAATATATTTGTAACTCATCTAATTAAGAAACATTTGCTTATTTCTAATAACATATTTGTTAAGAAACCAAATATTTCTAATGACATATTTATTGAGAAACCAAAGAAATGACAATTTTTATTGGCTCAAATATTAACATATCACATCATCTATTAGATGTATCGGACTTGAGACTTACACTAGGTCTCTTTCCTTCATTTTAACATACATGTTTACATTAAATACAAAAAACACTAATAAACAAAAACAAAGTCATTGTCTTACTAGCTAACATGCCCCTCTTAATGAGAAGTCGCAGTTTCGACTCTTGCTTTTGTTTTTTCATTTCTTCATTTTAAGGTATTATGTTTTAAAATACCTATTTCTAATTGCCAATGGCTAAAATAAATTTTTTTTCTAAGAAATAATGGCAAATAGGGAAAAAATGTTGAGACAAAATGTAAACTCATACGTAAATGTTGGCGGTAAATGCAAACTGAGAAAAATGAGAAACCAACACGTCATCATGACCTGTTGGTGACCAGCCAAGGACCCAAAAATGAAACGTTTTCTAAAATATAATGACAAATTAGGAACAACAAAATAAAATTGAGGCTAAAACAAAACAAAATTTTATATATAATGGTTTTTGTAGCATAAACCGTTTTTTTCTACTCAAAATGTTTTTTTTTTCATTTTTTATCTAAAACTTTATGTTTATAAAAAGTAAAAATGATATAAGAAAAAACTAAAAAAAAAAACTTAATATATGGTCCATGTGATTTTATTTACTTAAAGAAGACACTTAAACCCATGCAACATCCAGTTTTAAGGTGCTTTTTATTTTGGATTGTAGACCATAATTCGATCATGTGAAGCTCTTGGGCTTCAAGGAAATAGAGTTTAGACCCTACCGGATGTTGATATTGTTGGTTAAGTGATCTAAGCCTTTGATTTGTGTTTTGGAGCCAAGGGTAAAATAGGAAAAGTGATGCTTCAGATTTCTTGCATGAATTAATGATTTTAGTTCGATATGTTTTAAGTCAAAAGTAATTGTATAGGGTTATGAGGCTCGTCAATACCTTTCTGTGCATATAAAGAATACCGAAAACGGAGTTGAAACCAAAATAGTTAATGACCGTTTAAAGTTGGAGTGAAATTGGGTGAAAAATCGTCGTCACGAGGTGAGAGGAATGTTGTCACGATGTGAGAGTCATCGCGAGGTGACAAGCAGGTTGTCATGAGGTGAAAACTGTGCAACAAGCCCACAAAATTTTTTTAGGGTCTTCAAGGTATTAAAAGGTAAGGATTCATGTTTTATGGTATTTTCTTAGCCTCCATCCTATCTAGAACCCCTTGGGAGAAACCCTAGCCTTCATCTTCAAGATTTGAGCTCCTCCCTTATCCTTTCTCTCTCCCTCCCTCTCTCTCTCTCTCTCTCTCCTCTTTTGGATGTTTTTTGATATTTTGATGAATCTTAAAGATCAACAAGGTTCTTTCGGTTGAAAGTAGTTATGTTTCAAGTTTGGATCCATCAAAGGCACTACATTTCTGGACTATTGTGAGTATAAAGTTCCAATCTTGCTCTTTAGTTCTTTAGATTTCTTCATTTGTGGTTTTTGACACTTTTGGTCCATTTTATGAGTGATCTTGGAGTTGAGTGGAATCCAACATATTTTGATCAGTTTAAACTGCTTCTTGGACCTTATGGACTAGGAAAGTTACGATCTTTTTCCTTCCCTTTTAGCCATGCAAGTTATCTTGCTCCTTTAGATCATTTTGGTGTATTAAACTTTAGATCTTGAAAGTTTGAGACATTATTATTGATAAAGTCAGA